GTCCAAAAGACGGCCGGACGGCTCGCTCGCTAATATACGCATGCGCTATCTCGCCACTATATTTCCAGTAATAAATTTATCTATGCTGTCCTCCTTTGAAATGGCGTGAAATATTTGTTTTATTTAGTTTATCTTTAAAATTTTATTTCGTGAAATATTGCACACAGGTAAGAAGTGAACATGCCACAGTTTTAAACTGATGGACGCAGCCAAGTTTGTTGTCTTGTCTTGATGTCTTGTCTCCGGTCACCACAGAGCGGTTCCTCCTTGTTTCTCTTTCGCGCTGTGGATGTCTACTTCCAAAGTGATGGAAATACCAACGCGCTGATTGGCCGACTTGGCTTTTCTGCACAAAGCAAGAGACGTAAGCATCGGATCGGAGTTTAGGTTGCTAATATAAACCTTATCCCGAGTAAACCTTAATGCTTTGCATCGGCTGTACCGTGTATACAAATACACTCTTTTTATACTACTACTGTACTATAAAACTAGGCCTTTTCTAGGTAGAAGCAAGGACTAGGCCTAGACGCGACGATGATGGAATGGAACTGCAGGGATAAGCCCAGTAGGCTGGCGTTCGGACGGATGGTAAACAAGCCTAGGCCTATATAAATTGGCTTCGAGAGATGGAGTTTTTGAGTGTTTTGTTAAAAAAAAAAATCCAGGTTGGGGGCTTTACCGACGGTCGGGCGGGGATGCTAACCAATTGTTTTATTTTACGTGGCCTTATCTATTGTTTCAATTCAATTGTTTTGCACAGGATCAAAATTTATTTATTTTATTAAATTAACAAACTTCTCACATGCATAGGCCTAGTGAAGGAGACGAGCCAACAGGTGACAAACACCTCTACAAGGGCTCGCTCCCTACAATATAAAAATAGGCATTTCTCTTTTTGACTACGCGGCCAGTCTACTACGAACTAATGGACCGTGACGGCAACGCCAAGACACTGTTCGCGTACTACACTAAGAGCTATTTTCGTTTTTACCAGCAGTTTGCCAAAGAATCCGGTTATCTGATTGGTCAATATTAGGGTAGTCGCCACTACGCCAAATTCAGAAATTGGGGTTGTCGCGGAAGCTATCACAATGCCGATTTAGCCAGTAAGGTTTGTGAGCATGCGCAGATGACTGTTACGCTCTATTAGTTCGTAGTAGATTGGCCGCATAGTCAAAACGAAAAATGCCTAATAGAAATACATATAGATATATAAAAAATGACAGTTCAAACACTGAAACAATAAAATTTTAAAAGTATGCTAAAAGAAAAACAACCACGATGACAATAAATGAATAAGAAAAATCGTAAAAAAGAGTATAGGAAACAAGAATTGCCACAGAGAATATAAAAATCATTTAAATTGAAATTGCCACTGTAAATTTTAAAATAGAAATATGTAGAATAAATAATAAAAATGATAAAAATGTAAAAGACAATAAAAAGAATACTAATAGGCCTAAATCTATAAGGCAAAATAAAAAAAATAAAAATATTCAAACCTCTTCAATTCATTTTAATTTAAATCGACTGAACTTGAAACATCAACATAGGCCTAGTACTACTACTAGGCCTAGTAGGCCCTACGGCCTATCTATAGGTAAATTACTTATTTTATTAGGCTAGTAATAGGGCCTATGCCTACAATTTAGTTTAGCACTAGCTCCTAGGCTTCTGGGTAGGCATAATTACTATTGAATTATTAGCCAGGTCCTAGGCATAGTATAGGCCTAGGCCAACCTAGGCCTAGTAGTACTACAGAGTAGTAGTAGTAGGCCTAGGCCTAGTAGTACTGTAGGCTAGGAAGGAGTCACGTAATCCCGTATGCCTAACCGAGGCACAACAGCAAAGAGGTCTATCATACTTTACTTACTAAAAAAGTAAATTTCGTACTCACCGACTGATAGTTTCTTTTCAGGCATATTAATTTCAACGTCACAACAGATATAGGGCCTAAACAACATGGCCTGGCATAGCCTTCTATACTTGTCGACTTCTCCACATGTCTGCACTCTACTGCTGAATATCTCTAGGCCTATAGGCCTAGGCCTAGCCTAGGCCTAGACGTGATTCAATTTTTTGTAATTAATTGTATAATAGCCCACGTACCAGGCTAATTTGACTTTCTGTGATGTGTCGTGATAATCAACATCAAATGTCGGACAAACAAAACATTAAGCAACTACTCGAGCTTGTTCGTGTGCTAAAACAGTAAATGTGTCAGAAACATGCGGTTTACTGATGGATGGTCCGCTTGACTGAATCAATATTTATAAGCACGGTGAGTAAGGACACTTGTGGCATTGTGGCAATTATTGTACGGTTGCTATGCGCGCATACGGTTGGTGGTGCTAGCTGGACTGACGTAACCTTCAGCCTAATTTACTAGGAAGTTCCCTTTGAAGCAGGACGATCAATCATGATGAGCCATCAATAATTCTTCCGCGAACTTCTCCTTAAATTAATAATTCTTCAATTTAAAGATCACTGTATGCCAAAAATCGGGAGATTGTTGATAAATTTTGAATAAAATTAAAATAAAACTACATAAGTAAAATAATAAGCTTTTCGATGCCCCCCCCCCCCGTCCAAAGATTAGACACTGTGAAGTGTCGAGTCCCGGTCCGAGTGCCATAGGTCGGGTTTTAGGCTGTTTTTTTTTTTTTTGGGTTGTGTTGCTACCAGGGTTGGGGTTAGCGCCGAAGCGTTGCCCAGGTGGGGTCGAGGGGACGATCTGAGCATTTATAAGCTGTTTTAAAACGATTTCAGGGAGTGCTGACAATACAAAATAGACCAATGCGAAATGCTAAATGACAATTGCAGTTTCAGTATAATCATGTATAATAAAAGGGTTGGTTGTGACAGTGAAAGCGTAACCGCACGCGCCTCCAGGCTGTTTGTCGCGCTGCTCCAATCTAAAAACAGGTTGGAAAGTGATCAGCGCACGTTGTTTCCATGACACTATACAGGGGCGGATTTAGAGGCCCCGGCGCGGCATCCCCTTTTGGAAAGTCAAAAAAAGAAAAAGAAAGAAAGAAAACAATGATCGCCCAAAAGGCATTAGGGGTTAACACAGAAATTTCGCGGGGCATGTCCCCGGACTCCCTATGATATTGTTATCTCGATCGGCCCCACTTTTGGTCCCTCTTCCGCCCCCCCCCCCCTTTTTTTTTTTGGACATCTCTGGATCCGCCCCTGCATACTTTTAGCTAACTAAAATAGATGGTGCCGGTACAAAAATTAGGCCTAGGCCTACGTTTAAATAAAGCAACTATACAAAATTAGTTTGTATAAAAGGAACATGTTTAATTTGGGGAATGAAATTGGATTTGGATTGAGGTGGTAGCCGAATTCGTGATAATTCGTTACCACGCATAGATTTGTGCTAAATGCGTGACAAATGTAATTTATGATCACGCATGTGTTTTGGCAAAATGCGTGTTTAATCCAAAATCACTGTGAAATGTGGACCGTCCCGTACAATGCTAGACGGTCATGGTATTTTTTACATAGGCCTATGTAGAATCTAAAATGAATTAATCCTGGGATGATCACTTCCAAGATATTTTGAGCGACGTGCGACCAGGTCTACTTACGCACTCGTCAGGGGGAGGTGACCCCGCCCTCGGGCAAATCCTGAATATCCCTGATTTTACTGTATTTATTACTGAAAGTGCAGCTAAAGCCACCCAGTCCTTTGCATTAAATTATTTCGAATTCAAACATTTTTTTTTAGCTTTTGACAGACAGTACATTTTCAATAATTTTAATTGATTGCAAGCATTTGTTTTATTTTTTCTCCCTATTTTGTAGAAACCGTGTAAATCTGGAAGAAATGAAAATTGTTTCAAAGTTCAAGATTTAAACATCTGCTTTTCTTCAAAAAACGAGTTAGCAACCAATATGCAATTGGCCTTTTGATGCTGATCATGAAAACAAAAGTCATGTATGATACCCCCTCCCCCCACAAAGTCTATTTTTTTTCCATCATGTTCCCTCTGGGTCTTTGTAGTATTTCCGACAAATTTCTGATTTTTTTCTGTTTGGTTCAATCCAGTTGTCAAATTTTTGTGAGTACATTTCCATTTTTAGGCCAAATAAAAAAAATTATTGTGATGATCCACGCCCAACCGACCCAAATTTTACGAAATTCAGGGTTGGCATTTTTCTTTGACTACAAGAACAATATTTTTCTTTCATGAGCTTTTTAAGGCTGGAATAGCCTTGGACTAGGATGGGGGGGGGGGCAAGCCAAAATTGTATTATTTTTTTTATTTTCCCAAAACGTGGCTAACACAATTTTTTTTGGGCCGTACTTATATATTGACTTGACATGTTTCGCCTCTTGGCTTTAGCAGAGGCGATGACAGCTCACACAGCTCAGATCTTCCGATGACATTTTGGTTGATAGCGCCACCTATTTTTCGCTTGGATAATATTAATAATATTAATAATAATAATAATAATAATAATAATAATAATAATAATAATAATAATAATAATAATAATAATAATAATAATAATAATAATAATAAATGAAAGAACTTAAACTAAACTAAAATAAAGGAAATAAAAGTAGGCCCTAAAAAATTATAACAAAAATATAGTTATCCAATAAAAGGAAGTTAAAACTAGGACTTTGAATTAAAAATTAGGCCTAAGTTAATAAAATTGAAATAATTAGGTTGCAAAATGAATAGAAATAAAGTTTATGTACAGAAATTCGAGTATAAAAGAGTTTTGATCTGTAGTGACGTCAATTATTGTGGAATTTTAAATATTCGATTAAGCAACTAATATCCTATGTCTATGGTTACCAAAATTGTGCAACTTGGTCACGAAGACAAAAGTTCTGAACACAAATATAATATCACTCATGACACAAATTCATTTTTTTACTTCGTTTACCTTATGTCATTTTTTGCAATGTTTGTTTTTGTTAGATGAGAATGTTAGTGAGATTCTTAGTTTCCATTCCTCACAATTAGACGAAGCTTTAGCTAAGCTTATTTTAATAACAGCGGACGTAAGTTTACACCCCTGTTGAGGCCATTAACAGCAATCAACAGAGGAGTATAATAAGCAGAGTCAATCTCAGCTGAGACGCCAAACTTACCAATTTACACAATGTGTTACGCAAACCCAAAAATCTCTCATTATTTGGATTTTGTATTTTGTTAGTTCCATGACAAAGCACATCAGTTTTTTCTATAATTTATAGCTTTTGTTTTCGTTTTGTTAAAATAATGGTATAATAATAATAATAATAATAATAATAATAATAATAATAATAATAATAATAATAATAATAATAATAATAATAATAATAATAATAAATGAAAGAACTTAAACTAAACTAAAATAAAGGAAATAAAAGTAGGCCCTAAAAAATTATAACAAAAATATAGTTATCCAATAAAAGGAAGTTAAAACTAGGACTATGAATTAAAAATTAGGCCTAAGTTAATAAAATTGAAATAATTAGGTTGCAAAATGAATAGAAATAAAGTTTATGTACAGAAATTCGGGTATAAAAGAGTTTTGATTTGTAGTGACGTCAATTATTGTGGAATTTTAAATATTCGATTAAGCAACTAATATCCTATGTCTATGGTTACCAAAATTGTGCAACTTGGTCACGAAGATAAAAGTTCTGAACACAAATATAATATCACTCATGACACAAATTCATTTTTTTTACTTCGTTTACCTTATGTCATTTTTTGCAATGTTTGTTTTTGTTAGATGAGAATGTTAGTGAGATTCTTAGTTTCCATTCCTCACATTAGACGAAGCTTAACTAAGCTTATTTTAATAACAGCGGACGTAAGTTTACACCCCTGTTGAGGCCATTAACAGCAATCAACAGAGGAGTATAATAAGCAGAGTCAATCTCAGCTGAGACGCCAAACTTACCAATTTAAACAATGTGTTACGCAAACCCATAAATCTCTCATTATTTGGATTTTGTATTTTGTTAGTTCCATGACAAAGCACATCAGTTTTTTCTATAATTTATAGCTTTTGTTTTCGTTTTGTTAAAATAATGGTAGCGTAAAAACGATGACACAATGTTAGTTGGGTGCAGGTAAAATACGTGCACACCATTCAAATTTTGATGCAGATAACCAGGGTCTTTCAATATTTTAAGGATTTTAATGTTTCGAATCTCGCACACAGACACATCCATACATCTGATCCTTACATTGAGTTTTTAGGCCTACTACGGTTGACATGTTACGACATTTGAGGTAGGCTAAAATGGAAGTTTTTACACTTGGCGAAATGTTTTTACATCTGTGGTTAAAAAAATTCTTTACACTTGTTGGCGAAATTTGTACATTTGTGGTTATTTTTACATTTGGTGGTTCAGATGTTATGACATTTGTGGTTTATTGGTGGGTATTTTTTTACTTTTGTGGTGGACTTTTCTACCGACGTCGAGTGCGATATCGCTCAGTATTCGGTTCCTGAACTGCAGTTCAATTATCAATCAATCATTTATTGGAACATACACCCTTAGATCGGTGGCACTCAAAATCATTTGGTGCGTTCAAAGTGAATTAAAATTCTTAGCTAAAAGTACAAAAAAAAAAAAAAAAAAATTACGAAACAAAACAAGGGAATCTTAAGTAAAAATGAAATAAACACAAGTGAGTAGTGCTGCTAATGAGGCAAGTAGCTCCCCGAAAAACATGACAAGGAAATACAACCTGCCTTGCCTGTCACAAATTTCGAAGGGCCACCTGTACCATCAACAAACTCAACAATAATGTTAAGGCAAACAAAATCAATTAGTTACAAAAAAAAAAGTAAAAGACAGTAATACAGATACTTAATCTACGATAGGGTTTGCAAGTGCTTCAATTCAGATCTTTTTCTCCACGCTCTTTTCCATAACTTTTACAAAATTCATATTTCTCTACTTCATTTGTCATGGAAAGAGTAGTGGAGCATAGGACGTAGCTTAATTTAATATCAATATTAGCACTTAAAAATTGATCCCAAACATCGATGTTATGACTACTTAATTTATATTCAAGTTTATTTAACTCCTCTAAAC